ATTGAGAATCGTACCTTCCATAGCAAACGGTTCTTTCCGCACGCCTATGCTGTCTCCCGATAACCATTCAGGCTCTGAAATTTGATGGGAAAAAATGAGACTGCTTTTTGAGACCACAAGTGAAGGCGATAATTAAGGGACAAACCCATACTAAGCGTTTTTCTGGATGGAGCTCCCAGATGGAGCTCTACAGTTACTTGGATTATTTCAGCATATACAACCAAACCCATAGCCATTTTCTGAACAAACTATCCATCAAGTGTTCTTCTGACGCCCTTTACTTCACGAAGGTAAAGACATCTTTAATTCTCTAAAATAACCCTAAAACCGACCGAGCATTCGATGTTCTGGAGAAGTTTGGGGAACAACTATGGATGTTTTTTGACGCAGTACTATTCATAAAGTTGCTGAAAACTCCTCGGTGGCCAAAGAACGATCTTGTTCTTCTTTGGATTCGTTTAGTAGGCTCAAACCCCGCGTTTCCGTCACTATCATATGCTGCTTGAGGCGAGAATTCTTTGAAATTAGTGAGATGTACTCAGAGTAACATTTTTAACGGGAGACTCGAATGAATCCCAGCTGAACCTCTAATTTATGACGTTATGAATGGGCGCCTGACCCATACTTGGTGACCGTGCCTACCTGATGAGCACGCAGAAGGGCGAAACCGGTCATGGACTGTCGAAGCGTTTTCAGTAACTTTGTGAGTAGTTCCGTTCAAGAAAATATACTGAAATATCTCGAATATCGCATGAGGTGGCATTCGTGTGGCGCATTTAGTTGAATGATACTATAAACGGAGGATTCAGCTGGAATTCCGTTGAATCTCCTGGTAAGATCCACTTAGCATGCAAATAAGTAGACTAAGAGAAATAATGAATTTAGTGCTAGGCTACATCGATATAAAAGCTTTGTCGGGCCGGATAACACAGCTGGTTCGGTAGTAATGCAGAGGGAGAGCCAGTCGGCAAGATCCGTTCCGACTAGGAGGCCTGACCTGTACGTCGTCTTGTCCGAGTAACTACCAAGACCGATGGGTTGAGTGACAATGGACGTTAAATAAAAACAGGGATTGACCAGGCAAAATTAAATGTATCGAGCACACTGAGGTCTTCATAGGGTAGATGGTCAGGGGACCGCACGCCGGGATTGACAACCGAGCCACCAGGAGCGGACAAATATCAGGTGGAGGTCACGAAGGGGTATAGAATAGATCGGGAAACGTCCATTTCTAAGACGCTGGCTGTGACTTACGTCACAGAGGCTGATGGTCCTTGAAGATGAGAAGCACTAGGCATCTTATTAGGAATACTGTGGAAGAGGTGGCGTGGTAACTAAGACCGATTTAGCAGGCTGGGGTGAACGAGCCCACCTGTAGAGATCTGCAAAACTCTGAGCAACATGAAGTAAACCGGAATAACCAGACTGCCAACGGCCAAAATACTTGCTAAGTCATAGTAACAAACAGACTCCCTTAGACCGAACCGATTGTTTCACTTTTTGTCTCAAAATTGGGCCGACTTGTTAACCTAGCCACCTGTTTCGATGGGGCTGTCGTGTCGACATCGTAACTATACTGAGCTGCTAACTTTTCAAATGTTTTACAAACCATCAAAGTGACCTAACAAAGCTTGTCACTGTTATAAAATCACTTGTAAATGAGGTTGGCAAAAGAGCAGTTTCATACCCCAGACTTGATATTAGCTGTCATCCTGTTCCGTCGAAGATCTTCAGTTGCTAGAAGTCTAAACACCTCGGTCAATTAATTCTGGTAAAAAAATATTCACCACAATCTTATGATTTTAGTATAGTTCCGACAGGCACCACATACCAGAAGAAACAATATAACGGTTTCTATTACAACCCAACCTATCAGTAACGTCACATAATGAAACCAGTCTACAAAGTGGAGAGCCACTTATCGATCAGCATTAGGGAATCTTTGACCTGAGGACGGGTCATGGCAGGGCCACAATTGAAGCTAACGCTTTTGCTGACGATGGACCGACTGTCATGGTCAGATTGCGATTGATTCGGTTGTTGCGAGTGCGTTTAGTTGGACAGTCTTGGAATGATTTCGTGATACTTGTCAGATCACACTGAACGATTCGGTCGGGTTAATCCGACGACTGGTATCGATCGGTAGGCGGGCAGCCATCTCATTGGTCACGTGGTGCGACTTGTCGGAACGTTCAAAACATGTTTGTAAACGATTAATTACATTTTATTTACTCGAACGCCTTTGCTTATAACGCACGAAGCAAAATGCTCAGGAGGAAAGAACGCACTTGTGAATTCAGAAATGCCGACGATATCAAACAGCAAGCAGATTTTCTCAGTTGACGACGGGCTTAGTTTCTAATGATTCTGATGACGAAAAACTGAACAAGCATCGATTGATGCAGTTAAAAACGTGTTTTTTTTTCAAGGAGAAATTTCCAGTACTATGCCAGGCTGTAATGAGCAGTCGATTTTTTTTCAAGGAGAAATTACCAGTACTATGTCAGGCTGTAATGAGCAGTCAAAATGCTGACGCAGTATTCTCAGGGCATAATAAATTAGTGAACAGGTCTAAACATCAAGCTAGAGATGTCCATTTGGAGACCTACTTGAGATTTAAGACTTACGATAAGAACGCCCATGGTTGGAGAACCTATTTGATGTTTTTTTGTTTTCCAGAATCGAATAACGACTTGACCTGCAACGGACTATTTGGAACAAAAACGCACATCCCCCCTGACTGCCGGCACCGGACTTTACGGGTGCAGATGGTGGACGCAAACGGACGACCAGGATTGAAATAGGTCACTTTACCGGACTTTACGGGTGCAGATGGTGGACGACCAGGATTGAAATAGGTCACTTAGTTGACCCAAGACATTGCGCGGTATCCTGTTTTGGTTTAACGCAACCAGCCAGTATAGACCAGAAGCTAAAAACGAATCGTGCTGCTAAACCGTGGGTCTATAGAATGTGCTCTCTATATGAATTCGTTCTGGGATTGTACCAGGGTGCAGATTGTGCGCAGAAAACCCATCCGAGTATTAATTTCAGTGTGTGGTTCGGTTCTCATTTGGCCCGCTCCTTGGACGGAAAAGCATGCAAGACCATGTGACTAGCCCAGAGAGACTCACTCGGTTAGCCAACTTTCTGTCCTGTGCCCAAATTTCTGAAATCTCGGAGAATTTTGGTATAAGTCTTGTAATCATGTCCACCATAGCTTGAGCCACACATCGCGATCACGTGATTTTCCTCAACATGTGACTGCAATTTCTAAAACAGTATGCGTTATTCATATACGTCCGACGGGACCATACTATATTCATATGATTACAGCATATTTTCTGTATTCTACTGCATTTTTCTGGCTAGTAGCTGAGGTTGAATTCATAATTGGGTTTCAATGCCATCATGAAATTGAAAAAAGAACATGTTTTGTGATTTTGTCAGTTCTAAGAATGGTAGAGAGTTTGTCCACCTACGATCTCGAGAAGAATATGCAAACAAATTTCACTGCGACAAAGGTATCGAATAGTCGGATTGGAAGTAAAAAAAAGTATAAAAAATCACACAAAACATGAATGTATATTTGTAATGCACTACTCATAAGGTTGCTGAAATTTCGTCGACAGCCCACGACCGGTTTAGCCCTTCTTGGGGCTCATCACGTAGTCACAGTCCCCGAATTTCCGTCAACCTTATGTTCTGCTTGAATGTTTATTTTTTGATATGTCAACAAGATGTGTTTGCAGAGTATGTGGCCCCAGAATTTCATCCAAAACATGCATACCAAGCAGAGAGCCCTCACAGCGGCATCTCGGTTTTTCTAATTTTGTCTGAAAACTGAGTCTGATCTCTTGATATGCAAATAAAAATTGATTTATCTTCGATTTCTCATTCACAAATTGCTTCTGCTGTCAACGAATATGATCCGTGGACCCAAGGACGCAACACACTACTCACAAGGGTGTTGAAAACTAGGGTGCTGTTGACAGCCCATGACCGGTTTTACCCTTCTTGGAGCTCACCACATAGTCTGATTTACCGAGTTCCTGTCAACTCTATTTTATATTTGAACCCGAATTGCTGTCAGAGTTTTCAGCAACCTTATGAGTAGTGTTTTACGTCCATGCAATGTTCGGTAAGGTATTCTTTAGTCTGTTAATTTTTCTAGTCAAACTGACCTTGTCATTTTGCCACCTTTTCTTGGACACACTGTTGGACCAGTGACCAATAATCAGGGTTTTCCAGATCATTTTGAATGGGCAGACATTACAAATCAAGTCAAACGTCGTCGGGTTAGCTGGCATCTCTGTTGTCAAATCCAACCTCCGAAGAGGCCAGCTGATTGGTCACAAGTTCACATCAGCCATAGACACAAGTTTGGCACACACAAATCCACGGCTGGTGTACTGTTACCGCTACTGAACAACGTTGGTGAAATACTTTGGGTTCGCTCTTTTGTCAGCGAGCAGAATCGAATGATTTCTTTGAGGCTGACATTCAAAAGATGGGTAGTCAGTTGCCTTATTACTACAATACGAGGCTCTCGAGAAAGCCACTCAGATCGATCGATAGTTTAGCAGAAAAAAAAAAATAAAACTTTCGTTACAAATCAAGTCAAACGTCGTCGGGTTAGCTGGCATCTCTGTTGTCAAATCCAACCTCCGAAGAGGCCAGCTGATTGGTCACAAGTTCACATCAGCCATAGACACAAGTTTGGCACACACAAATCCACGGCTGGTGTACTGTTACCGCTACTGAACAACGTTGGTGAAATACTTTGGGTTCGCTCTTTTGTCAGCGAGCAGAATCGAATGATTTCTTTGAGGCTGACATTCAAAAGATGGGTGGTCAGTTGCCTTATTACTACAATACGAGGCTCTCGAGAAAGCCACTCAGATCGATCGATAGTTTAGCAGAAAAAATAAAAAATAAAAACTTTCGTTCCAACAAATCTGAAGGTACTATGAATGTCGCAATCACTGTTATCAACGTACCCTTTCCCGTCATGATGAAACGTTTTCCAAATCGCTGAGGGAAGAATTCTGCAACTACCGGTCCCAGGCCCCCTTCGTCTGATGGTATTACCTGAGCCTGTCTCCATAGGCCAGCATCCATTTCTTTGAGTAGGACCAAGGATAGTAAACACATGGAAAGGGTGGGGATCCGAAGTGACACTATCATATCGCCTGGCTGAAACGAGTGGAAACAAAGGAATTTGTGTACGAGATGTTTGTATGAACACTGCTACATTTCCCAAGTTTTATGCACTTGAAACATTTGCTTGGTCAATACACGAGGGACACGGCACAATCTCCGAGATGACAAAGCTCTGCGGTCACTGTGGCCATTAATCTCAACAGAACGAGGAGAAAACCACTTCAGAAGAACATCCTGCAGACAAAGAATGTTAACCGTGTGACGGTGCTCTGCCAGTAAGTCAGGGCTTGCGAATTATCAGCACCACGTGCCAGGTATTTCGATTCTTGAGCACTTATCGCCTTAGGCTGAACAGTATTTTACCTTCCAAACGGAACCTGATTAGCTGGCTGTCCACAATCGGTGTCCACTGATGTCTTGAATGAGCGGACATATCGGAGGTTTTTCGGCCTACTCTGCACAGGGCTGACTTTCTTCAGGAGTTGAAATTGGCCATAAACAAATGACAAATGCACACCCAAAACCCATCGGAATCTCCGTCTCCAAATGCTCTACCATGATAATTCTACTGAAAGCTTCCAACGCATGGGGTTGAAACCACAGCGGATTTGTTTAGCCAAAGTGGGAAAGTTAGGAATGTCTGACCACCTGCCGCCACCTTATTCGAATTGAAAAATCCTTCCAAGCGAAGCATGAAGCGGATTTTGTAAACTGAAGATTAATTTGGATCCTCAAGTACTGCCAAGTCACTCATTACGACCATCCTCATTTACAAATGAGTTTTCATCTCAAACGTTTGCCTTGCTCCAATAAGTACCCCACAGGTGGTGCCAAGTGTCACACCCAATTCAGCCGAAGAACTATACTGCAAGGCCACTTTTCCACATCACTTGAATACGTGCTCACTCAATATTTGTCGCAGTGCAGCAATATTGCAACTCAAATCCATGTCCCAACTCCACCACACCCTTACACATACCATCGAACTCTCTGTCCTCCTCACATTTGCCAAATCTGATGCTGCCTTGTTGCCTACGAGGAAGGTACCACTGATATCGTCCTAACGACATGCGTGTCTTTGGGTGGCAACAGTGAGTGTGCAATATTGCCATAAACACTTTGGGTGGCAACAGTGAGTGTGCAATATTTGCCATAAACAGTAAGTGTGAATTGCTTCATGATCATCCTCGATTCCGAAGTCCAAATACAGCTTACTGTGCACCAAACGAACTGGCTCAGTCTTCCTCCCACTGGAGATAAAGCCGTGTTCGGTCCACTTATTTAAGTGTGACATTGATAGATGTAGATAGCTATGTGGACCGGTTATATCAGGAATACACCTCTTGGGTTCTCTTTGGATAAATAAGAGTACAATAAATGCACAGTGTTTAAGAAGCAACTGTCGGGAGGATGGATTAATACACATGACACAAGGACGCGCACCCATGGTTAACATCCCTTGTAGGGAGGTTGTCTTTATGAGAGGTCAGTGGCAACCGTTCAGAAAGATACCTGCGTTCATATATACGGATCGTTACCACCGGTAGCCTGCTTGACTATCCTAAGAAGTTGGGGCTTCTTCTCCAGTAGTAGGATCTTTTTCCAATATCGAACATAGATTAACAATCTACCTGGAAAGTTGAGTATCCTAACTTTCATGGTTAATACATGTCAAATTCGTGTGAATAACATGGAAACGTGGCCTGATCACAATTTCGGTGACGCAACATCCCTTACCGATAGACTGTTTTCAAACAAAAACCGACCTGTTTTAAGAAAACGACTTGTGACCAGGGGTGTCGTTTCAATGTTGTACAAGTCAGCGGGATGATTTCCTGAAACTAATTCGGTTCGTATCAGATAATGCCGCCTCATATGCTTGTCAACCGAACTAGTGAAACATGTTTTTAGCTGACGATTGATTCACTCGAATAGTTCTGTTGTAGACCACAGTACGGGCTATATTGTTTTACGATTGCGACGAATTCGCGGCGCGGTACTTAGAAAACGGGTGTTTGGCTGTGTAGTAGGCAGTTTAGTGGCGGAAAACACCCAACTGTGTTTCCGCACACCCCTCCCCCCTAATTGTCATCAACGTCTGTTTTGGAATGGCACAAAGCTGTCTGGGGGGGATGAGTACAACGATCGGGAAGACTGTAAATGTCGATAAGCGGTACAGTTGAATGGGATTTTCTTACGACCTTACCTGGTAAATGTAGACAAAACAACCTTCAGACAGAATGCTTCTTGACAGTGTGTGTACCCTTACTGTTTGCTGTCGGACGCACTTCCGGTGTTGAACACCTGGATAGCATCCTATTTTTACAACCTCAGATCTGTGCTGGTGGATCATCGTCTCCCTGACCCTTTCTCAATTCCAGGATCATCGTGATCATTTGTGAGAAATGACTACCATCTGCTGTAATTAGTCTGTGGTTTCCAGATGGATGTCACGTCAGCTGATCACTGGCTCTCAAAAAAAAGATCTCTGATCGTGTCATGCGGAATGAAATTCTTCGTTTGGTATACTCCTAATGAATCATACAGTTTTCTAAACACTAAGCGAAAGTTTGTATTCGAACCCGTAGCCATCAATAAATGCAGCATTCTTTGGTTTTCAGGATAGGGTGACTTACTAGAGGTACGCATTTTTGTCAATTGCCCATACTACTTTTATTGCCCACATACTACTACAAACATTCTACTCATGCAGGACAGTTCTGCATGTCGCACGGATATCTCGGATATCTCCGGCCGAAGAGTGCAGCTACCCTTTCGCCACATACATGACTGCACAGGCCACCGACACTCGCTGGATCACGAGATCTGTCTTTTTTTTTCTTACATTCACAAATCACGCCACACAATCGTGACTAGCTCGATTACACAGCTCACAGTCAAGCCCTTGATCCCAAGACTCGTCTTCCTTTCCCCACACGTACAAATCACGACACATAAGGGTGACTTATCTGACATAGACTGTCTACCGTCCGATAAGGTAGCAGCAAGTCATGTGCTCACACCCACACTCACGCAAACGCCCTTACATATAGGATAACAGCACAGCAACACAACACAACTCAGCAGAGCTTCGCATATCGCCCAACTCGGAGCAGAGCCCCTCGGACTTACGGCGCTTCACGCGCGGATATTCAGGAATACGTGTGGCTGCTACAACAGCCAGAGGAAGACACCAAACCTGCATTCGGACTTGCAACAGGATTTATCAACCTGTACCTGCAGTACGGTAAGTCCCTTTTTCGCATATATACCTGTTGTAATGATTTTACTCAACAAGCTGATAGTGTTAGTGCTCCCCGTTTTCTCGTCTACACAGTAGAGCATTAACAAGGGTACCGTGTTGAAAAGGGTTCGTCTTTTTTGGGACATTGTGAACTTTGCACTGGCGATATCACCTCGATTGGAGATGGAACATCTGGCATTTAAGTGCCAAGCTCTCCAGACTAGGTACCAGAGCTATCTGTAATCCTCAATGAACCTTCTTGTTAGACGTGATTCTCCGTCACTATTCAGGAACCCCCTCTTGTCCTACTCATCGGTCGGAGTAGGACCAGCCATCATGAGTAGCATTCATCACGATGATCGTCTTCATCCTCATGATCAGCCATCATCGCCACTCATTGTTAGCACCAGCAACATGACAGCGCTGATTAAAATCGATCGGAAAGCCACTGATTTTGTCGGCAGATAACTCCAACCATGGATGGTGCTTACAACCTTGGTAAGTATCACCTCGTGTTAGTGACTATCACGCATGTCAGTCGATTCCTTGTTTGCTTCAGATTTTGTGAAAATACCCTCTTGCAATTGAGCAATCAAAGCTTAGATAATTCCAGTCGGCCATGTGTTGGATACTCCTCTGAGCATTCGCCCCCGCAATATGTCTGCCAAATGTAAGACAACTGGCTGGAGCAGCTCGGGGCAAGAACGTGGGGATTACGTGCGTGACGTCTCTGAACCATACCAATGGACTTGTCAGCTGTGTGAACTTCGCTTCTGACGGACCCATTTGAGATCCTGGCGATCGATAACTCACCGTATCAGAGTGAACCAGTATGGGGGTTATTTCATAGTTAATTGAGAAAACGAAGGTAGGCACTATGCACCGAGATAGACTGAGTAAATTAAATGTTTTCGAGAAATACACTCATTTAGAAATCAATCTGGTTTTCATGAGAGAATCAACTGACGAAATCAGTCCAATTTGGGTTCAAGTAGAACACAAGGTTGACGGAAACTCGGGGACTGCGCCTACCTGATGAGCCCGAAGTGGAAGGGCGAAACCGGTCGTGAGCAGTCGAAGAGTTTTCAGCAACCCTGTGAGTAGTTTCCTTCATGTTAATTAAATGTTGTTCACACAGTTAGGAATACACCTTCCAAAAGGTTAGGCGTCACTTAGAGAAATAGGGACGTTATCGTTCAGGGACGCTCTTTAGGTCAACATGTCGCACTGGGGACATGGTCCCTTGAGACGTAGGAACTAGTGTTTACAGTAAATTGTAGAGGTCAATCCTCATTCCAATATCCTTGTTATCCAAGTTCGAATGGTGTGCCAAAAACCATACATTTAACCCTAAAACCCAAGGACTAATTCCCTCAGCTTTTGAACTCCCCTAGTTCATAGGTAGCAAGTGGATACCCACTGATCGTAGAATCAGTCGCTAAAAAAACAGCAACACGTCAGGTGGGCATGTGACGATATCTGGTATGATCGACCCCACAGCTGACCAGCCCGTTTGATGATGAAATCATGTGTATGCTTGGTCTAATGTTCATCCCACTTTGAACCTTATCGAAGCTCAGCTTAGATGGAAAAGTGTATTGAACGCCTCCCTCACTCATCACCGTGGGCAGTAGATTTAACTCTAATTTTTTAAACGTTTCCCCCACAAGACAAAATCCCATACTGCTTCTGAAAGGGTGCCACAAAATGGACCATGGGCTGAAAGGGGAAACGGACTTCAGCTAAAAGATTAAGTGCTCAGTGGTGTGGAACTAAGGCTTTTGTGCGTCAGTTTCACTTTTTACTTGCCAAATCTGTTCAAAATCCATATTTTGCAAAACTTATTTGATGCAGTGCTGTCTACCAAACAGAAAACGGTTACTGGTCCAACTCTTTGGGNACCTATTGCCTCTGATAATTTATGGGTCTTGATCTTCCGATTGATTCTTAATCCAGAATAAAATGTAGCGCTCTCTTATGCAAGCGGATATCTGTCTCTCGCTAGGTCACGAGACGTTTGCAAGCCATTTGCCAAGCTCGGCAAGCAGGTGAACGGCCTCCTGGTTGAGGGCTGATTTTGGTTGACTCCTGACTACTCGCTTACATGGGCTCACTGGTTAAGATGCAAGGCTACCGAGAGAAAGGTGCCCGGTTCTCAACTCTTCTTGTCTAGGCTTAGCTAACTTAACGTCAGTTAAATCCTAGTGCTTCCTTCGGGTTATACGGCGGTTATGCGCCTAAAGGATGCTGCAAGTGAAAGTTTGAACCCCATTTGCGCACCAGTTCGTTGGGTGTTCGCTGCAACCATTTGACTGTTGGAATGCCACAGAGGCACACTTTCGAAAACCATTGCTAAAACCTTTATTGATTGGGTCGCACGCTCCGTTTGTGTGTCCCCTGTAGAATCAACTGTAGTTGGAACCCCTTCGGCCCGTGGATGAGGTCACCATTGTCCGAAACTCAGACCGATGTACTGACTTCACAGATCCTAGGCCCGAAGGGCTTACCGAACTTAAGGCAAACCCTAGCACCATCAGAAATCCACCTGGTACCAACGTTTTTGCAACTTGCGACAACACCCAGACCTCCGAAGAAGTAGCTTGTTGATGAAACCTCTGGAACAGTAATGGCAGAAAAAATCCCGAGAAGAGGGTACCGCTGTGCAAGAGAACTCTCTCTGAGGGGGGAGGATTCTCGGCGAATCAGGGCTGGAGACGAATACCATTAAGGTCACTTTGTTCCATCAATATGGTATTTATTCAGAAAGTTATGCTTTGTGATCGAGCCAAATCAGAGAGTTCTGTCACGTTCTAGCTACTTTGTAGTGGAATGCCAGTTGACAGCGTACGCCCCGTTGACGAACAAAATTCTACGATCTCAAGGCCATTGCACGTGAGGCACAGCTTCCACAGGCTTACCTTAGGTACGATCAGCAGTTTTGGGACAGTTACCAGTCAAGTTCTTAATGAAATCTGACATTTGGCTTCTTGTTAGTCATTTGATCAAGGAGTTCTTCCAAAACAACTCCTGGATATTCCCTTCTAACGTGT